CTACCAGTCAACCATAGGTAGTACAGAGAAAAATTGTTGGCGGAGCAAAAATAATCATAACAAAAAAATCAAGGCATAAAAAGTGATATACATGATTTATTTATGTATTTTACCTATAAATTGTTATGTTTGATGAGCAACATACAAGTTTCTTGCTTATTCTTCTTGTGATGAATCTGCATTCCGAATAAGCGGTAGAATCAAAAAACTTGACTATTCAAAAGTGCTTATATTAAGTTTATTTGAATAAAGATTATTTCTATTTCTATTTAATGAGGGTAGTTGGAATATTTGGTCCATAATGCAATATTGGTGTAGATTTATAACCTAAAATTTCTATGTTTATTACAATTTGAAGATTATTTTTATACTATCGACTATTATCATCAAATATTTATCGATAATTCGCGTCTCTGAATCTGTAACTAGTATATAAGTCAGAAACACCTGGCAATAGGCGAACTCCTTCCTAGAAGCTGGTATTGTTTATTTTTGTATGTACAAACGTACAGCGGTATATTCGTTTATGTAGTCAGTCTAAATCGAATACACGTCATTGTTTAGAGAAGGGAATAAGGTCATTGCTATGGTATCTATAGTGGAGTGGTGGGGGTTAAGGGACTGCTACGGAGTCGTATGGAAAGAGCTTGGAGTTTCTCTGAGGAATAAAATCCGTAACGAAGTAATCGCTAGAGAAGTAAGGTGACGGACATAGCTCTTCGCATCTGTAAGTTGAAGTGGCAGTGGGCTGGTCATATCTGTCGCAGAACCGATGCTCGCTGGAATAGGCGTGTTTTAGAGTGGAGATCACGAATTGGCAAACGTAGTGTAGGACGCCACGCAGTTAGGTGGAGGGACGACGTAGGTTTGCGGGTAGTAACTGGATGAGGAGGGCTAAAGATCGTGCCTTGGGAGAGGCCTATATCCAGCAGTGTGCTGCAGTGCGCTGATGCTGATACGGACTCCATCGGCATTCCACGTATTTTCTCTATAATTATGTTAATAGCAAACAACTTGATGTCTGAACTGAAGCCTCCGTCATGTCATTTCACTGCCATATCTCAATCATGCCTCATCAACCGAAGCATTTTTACAAAGCTGATTGGTGAGTAAAGTAAATGAACCTAAGGTGAGTGGAAATGAGGAAATAGACACCAGTTAGTAGTCATAGCGATCAAGGAGGAAGGGAAGGCGATCGCCCTTAGATCGCAAAGCGCCGGGGTGACGACCGCGGAGGCAGTTCCATCCCACCGCACTAGTCTTAAAGAAGTCGCGTGGAGACATGCGCCCTAAGTGAGGAACGCCTTCTCCAGGGAAATAGTTGGGTATCAGGGGGGATCCCGCAGAGATGATGAGAGATGGGGCCCACAGCTTGAATGTCGGACTGTCACTTTTTTGACGACCTCGGTTGTCTAGCTGTCTAGCACACCGCTTTACGTCCGATGGTCGCGGGTTCGATTCCTCGCACGGCATAAACATTGATATTCATGAGTATGATTGTTTGTACGGTCTGGGTGTTTTCTATGTATAATATGTATGTATATACGAAAAATTATCTATGTATTTGTATCAGTTATCTAGTAACTATAACACAAGCTTTAGCTAGCTTAACTTGGGTCTAGATGGCGCTGTGTGAATTGTCCTGAGATTATTATTATTATTATTATTAATCCCGCGGCGCAGGCATATGGCGTCGGACGAGGGACATATTGGAGTGTTTAGTGAGTAGGAATCTCAAAGTACCTGCTTGTACCCCCGGGCGGGCTGTACTTCATGAGGAATTTCTCCAAGAAAAAGAAAAGGTGATTCATTCAACCTCTAGCACTGGTATGACTAAATATAACATATAGGGGGAAAGGGGACTGTTAGTAATGTAGACTGCCTTTTAAAAAGGAATAAGCTTTTTCTTGACTGATGATTCTTATTCATCCAGATGATCAGGATGGTATTTCAGTTTCTACGCAATGTACCATGTCAGAACACTCCCCGTATATGCGGTAGAATGTTACGAACCGTGTGGAGGTCCACACTGAGCGAGAGGGCTTGAAAACACACGCTGCCAAACCATCGTGAAAAACAAACAATAAATTCCAACGGCATGGTGAATTTGTTTACACTCTCGATGGGCTGCCCAATGAGTGTAAATTGGGCTTCATTGAGGCACCTGACCTCATGCTCATCTTATCATCCTCCACTAAATATCCATCCACCCCTCACAATGTTAGTACCAATATATATATTTTTTCGGCTACATATCCATATATATATATATATATTATTTTTTTTACATAATATTTTAATTTCATTTTATTGTTACTTAGGATTGAAAAATACATATAACCCTAAATTTTCACCCTTCTGTTACCAACCCCTAATTTTTAATAGCGATATTAATTTCTCTTACATTATAAATTCTCTGATCACCATAAAACTACATTAATGTAGCTCGATATTGAATCGTCTACCGCTGGGAATGATTCATAATATCCTTCTGCTAAGGATGGTTCACACTTTATATACAAAAAAGAAAATATTAAATTGACATATGTTCACTAAATACATATAAAAGTATATATACGCTTGTTACATAATAAAATAATTAAAAAAATTGTAACAGTGTTCCAAATATCCAGTAGGTGTCTCTATGTAATGCAAATAATTTTTTTTTGGAATTATATAAACTAGAAGATTATATAATGTGTTTATATTGTCAATGTTTTATACTTCTGTGAATATCATCGTTTCTTCAGTAAATTAGTACAGATGTTTTCTGTATTAAGTAAATAAATAAAATAAATTTTGTTTCTAAAATAATTTAACTGTATGTCCAATTCAGCAGTGTCAAAATTAAACATCCTCAATAAAATATTAATTTATAGACTACCCACAACAATTCATCCATACAAACATACATAACAATAAAAGCGATCTCTTCAATTTTATAACCTTATTACAAAATTATTTAATTGAATTAGTGCTAATTGGTAGTTTGTATTCACACACTTAAACTTAAAAATGTAAAGTAATAATAAAATTATTTAAAAGAGCAACACGCAAGTTTCTTGCTCGTCTCCTTGTGATGAGACAGCTTTCCAAATCAGCTGTAGATTAAAAAAAAATGTGATGACTATTCAAAAGTGCTTCAATGTAAGTTTATTTAAATAAATGATTTTCTATTGTATTCTTCTATTCTATTCCAACAACATTTATTTAAAAGAGCAACTCACATGTTTTTTGCTCATTCTTCTCGTGATGAGACTGCGTTCCGAATGAGTGGTAGAATAAAAAAAAATATGTGACAATTCAAAAGCACTTATCTTAAGTTTATTTGAATAACGATTATTTCTATTTCTACTTATGTTTGAAAATAAATTTTAAGTATCACGAGTAGATATAGGCTCTGTTTTATCTCAAATTAGCAAACGAAGCTGCGAATAAATAGTGTAATTCGCAACAAACTGACAAAAAAAACATATTCCAAACAAGTTATGAACTATGTTTAGGTAGTAAACCCCGAGCGCCTGAATGAGCCTTTATAGCATATGTGATCAGCTTAATACTTGAATTAATATTACGTGGTTCCATTGTAGAACCGTACGTCATTTAGTTAGATCTTATATATAAAATTCTCGTGTGACAATGTTATTTACCATAATCTTCTAAACTAATATTTAAAAAAGTTTTTTGTTAGTAATCAACTAATTCTAAGTAATAGAATAGAATAGAAAATCATTTATTCAAATAAACTCAATTTAAGCACTTTTGAATAGTCAACGATTTTTTTAAATCTACCGCTTATACGGAAAGCTCTCTCATCACAAGAAGAATAAGCAAGAAACTTGTGTGTTGCACTTTTAAACAATCCTTGTAAGTTCACATTTTACGAGTCGAAACTTGTGAATACAAACTACCAACCAGCACAAATTTTTTTGGGTCAAATATAAATATACAATAAGATTAAATCAGTCGTAGTGATAAGAGCAGACCAGTCCCTACAAGCAGCACTAATATTTTACGTGTTATATACTCTTTTACTTAGATATATCTAATTTCAGTCAGTCGTAAAGCAGTTTCTTTGTGAATGTTTCGGTTGAACGGTGAGATATCCTGGTGATCTCTCTATTCTTCCCAATCTGTATTATTGTAAACATGTACAACATTTATTTGAAAAGAGTACGAGCTGAGTTTCTTGTCAGTTTTTCTCATCTCGAAATCATTTCGAACTGACGGTAGATTTGACATATCATCAGAGTCTGTAATAGACCTACGCGAATTAAGTTTTTTTAATTTTTTTTTTAATTTTGAGTTATGTTAGTGATATTACAGGAAACGGTCTACGTCCTCCAAGGTAGCAGCAAGCAAGTATGTAGGTACAGACGTCACAAAATTACGTCACATCATACCTTACCGTAACCGTATTGAAACATTCAAGAAAATAGCTTATTCCTTTTTAAAAGGCCGACAACACAATTCCCTTAGTGTAGCGGCGTTAATAACTTACCATCGGGTGAGCCGCATGCTCGTTTGTCCCCAAAAAATCAGCTGAGGCGTCGTAAGCTTGTTGTTTATTCCAGTTACGTAAAACAAGTATTTTTTTTTATATAGTGTGGCTAAAATTTACTGAACTCGTGGCTTGTTGTTTATTCCAGTTACGTAAAACAAGTATTTTTTTTATATAGGGTGGCTAAAATTTACTGAACTCGTGTGAAGCCAGAGTATAATTATGTACAAAATTACAACATCTAATGCGCGAAAAATATAAGTCAGACTTTTGCAGTCGAATAACAAGTAGGTCATTGCATTAACGGCACGAATCGTTTCCGAAAATAAACAAGTACAACGTAAACACACAACATCTACCTTCATCGTAAGGAATCGAATAACCGTTCAATTCAGCCACAGCCACTCTTATTACAACCCATTAAGCACTATATTACTGTAAATCAAGTGTAAAGTGACTTATTAATTGTCATTCGAAGATAATAAATAAAATATCTGTCAGTATTCACTTGGTATCGTTTATAGATACGCGTTTAGTAGTGTTATTTTGTTTAATGAGTTGTGACAATGTAAGTATTTTGTCAATTCTATTTGTATTTTTTTCTCAATAATGTCTATATTATATTAAGAAGTTATTTGTTGAAATTATAATGTGTTTATTTGAAAATATAGTGCATAATGTACATTGAAACGGTTATGTCCATTTTGTTGTAGGTTAGATATGGTATGTGGAGTATATTGTTTGCAGATGTCAAGGGAATAGTTGCAATTTGGCGGGAAGCTAAATGAATATCAGAACCACAGATAATGTATAGTATGCGCAGTAGACGATATTGTACGTTAAATTATTACTGCGCATGTCACGTGATATCAAAATCGCGCTCGTGTTGTTTTGATTTAATACCAGTATAGATTTATATCTAACACTAGCTGTATTAGCGACTTCGTCCGCGTGGAATTTAACTTTATTTTTCTAAAATAAAAGTAGCGTAAGTTACTCCTTATTACATCAGCTACCTGCCAAAATTGTCCCATCAAAATCGGTCCAGCTACTTTAGAGATTAGCTGGAACAAACAGACAGACAGACTAATATTGTAATAAATGTGTAACCATAGTTATATTCATATGCATGTAGTAAAAAATGGTTATTTCAATATTACAAACACACACTCCAATTTTATTTATATGTATAGATTGTTTGTCATACATAATAATAAATATAGGCACTATATTAACTAGTATAGTATACTCTAATTAACATTGTAAAGTTAAACTAACAAGCAATTATTTATGTAGAAACTAGAAGATTCGTCCCCAGTGTCGGTTAATTTATTTTGTCAACGAAATGTGGGTACTTATCTATGTCGACTGTACTAATATTATAATAAACTGCCAGAATCTGCACTAAATCTAACAGAGAGGCAATTCAAATCGTATATTAAACAATTTTTGTGTAAGAAATCCTATTACAGGATAGACGAATTCATAGACGACAACATATCAAGTAAATAATTAGTTTATTAGCATACAACGTTATAATTTAATTTTCTCATTGCTTTCTTGAATTAATTATTTTAGAAATATGACAGCTTAGCGGTTTTTGTATTGATTGCCGCATGCATTCTTATGTAAAATGTGAATACTATAACTATCAGATGGCAATTGTAAGTAGCTATGACGTGGTCTGGTGTTTTGAGTAGTCATGCTCACTAAAATGTCCAGACTTGTGGCGGCGTGGTGGGCCGGGTCATTGGGCTCCCTAAAATATGGTCGAGAAATTCAACCCCACACGCTAGAACCTAAGTGGTCTCGGACAGTGCGGTTTCAGAGGAGCTTCCTCCTGCGTACACTTACATTGTGGAATGAACTACCTGCCGAGGTTTTTCTCACGAGACTACATACAGCATGGGGTTTTATAACAAGGGTATATTAAGGTTCCTTAAGGGTCGGCAACGCGCATGTGACACCCCTGGTGCTTCAGGCGTCCATAGGCCACGGTAACCATTTACCATCAGATAGGCCGTATACTTGTTTACACCATAGTAGATCTCAAATTCCGTTGAGATCCGTTCAGCTTTTAATCGTGAACAGGTAGCAAACAAACAGACAGAGAAATATTCATTAGAATAGAATAGAAAATCATTTATTCAAATAAACATACTTTTGAATAGTCATCACATTTTTTTTAATCTACCGCTCATTCGGAAAGCTCATCACAAGAAGAACGAGCAAGAAACTTGTGTGTTGCTCTTTTAAATAATTATATTGAAATGAATTATTACTTTATTTTTAAATTTTTTACCGGTTTGTGATATAAATTCTTGTAGATTTTTATTTGAATAACCGATAAACTATATCAAAATAACTTATCATTTTTATTACATCAGCTACCTGCAAAAAAGTCCCGCGACTAAAATCGGTCCAGCCATTAACCAGAGAATAACCGGAACAAACAGACCGATAGACAGACAGACAAAAATTGTAGTTTAACTATTTATATTTTCTAAAATAAGGTCATTTCAATTTTTTTTATTTATATGTATAAAAAGTAAACGTTATATTTTATTAACTATAGATTAAATGTTACAGAGCACAAACCGTAAACAAAAACATAATATCTTTTGTAAACAAAGGTAATGTGTCATACAGCTATGTTATTTTGCTTTATCTTATAAAAAACTCCGCATGTTAAAATCGGTTTTTCTAAACTAAAAGTAGCCATTTCAGATGAATAACCGTCACGAACAAACAGAGATTAGCCGGAACAAACAGACAGACACAAAATGTAAAAATGTTATCTTTGTGTATGTACCGTATTTATATTCATATGCATGTGGTAAACAACGGTTATTTTAATATTACAAACATACTCTCCAATCTAAATATATATAACTCAAAGGTGACTGACATAGTGATCTATCAACGCACAGCCCAAACCACTGGACGCATCGGGCTGAAATTTGACATGCAGGTAGATGTTATGACGTAGGCATCCGCTAAGAAATGATTTTGATTAATTCTACTCCCAAGGGTATGAAAGTTTGTATGAAACTTTGTTAATTTTAAACCTATCGGTCTGAGACTTTGCATGCATAAAGCTACTATGACGTAGGCATCCCCTAAGAAAGGATTTTATAAATTCCACCCCTAAGGTGACGAAAGTTTGTATGAAAGTACTGTAAAGCTGCCAAAACTATTTAAACGCGAGCGTAGCCGCGGACAAAAGCTAATTTTATTTATATGTATAGATGAACTATTGTTTTATTTGTCAGTTTATGTATTCATGTTCATTTTGTACTGTATTATTATTATATTGTATGTCTGCTTATAACGTAAATAAATGATTTGTCTATCTATTTGTAACTGTCAGGTCCTATGTGAGACCTGCGAGCGTCCCGCTGGGACAAGTATGGAGCCGTTTCAAAGGGCGGGAACGAGATGGGAAATCAGCTAAAATGTGAGTGTGTACCGTTTTTTTTAATAGATAATTTTGTAATTATAAGGGATGAAAATAAAAGATACATATTGCGTAGTTTAAAACTAGGACGTGCAACAAGCCGCGTTCGCGTTGGTTGGTGGGAAGCTACTAAACAATTAGGTGGGGAGGCTTGCATAACTAACGGATAATCCGTAAATAAAAATCATACGTAGGTGCGTAATACAGGTATACATACATAAACAATGCTTTAAGAGGAACATGACATAAAAATATACAATAAATTATATATAAGTAGTGCCGTTCAGTAATTACATGTCCATAATATCCCTTATTCGTAACGGATAATCCGAAATAATTTTATATCCGTATCTGTATCCGGTATAATAATGATTCCTATATCCGAAACTTATCCGTATCAGAAATTACATGTCCATAACATTCCTGGTATACAAATAATAATAAGAAAGATCATACCAAGTAGTCCCAAGCTAAGCTGGTATTTATTATATTAGGTATTTATTATACTTACATACATAATATGTATATTTAAAAAAAACGCAAATCATAATCATGAATATAAAATTTTGTATCGTGTGAGCGAAAAAATCGAAGCCGCAACCATCGGAAGTAAAGCGGTGTGCTAAACCACTAAACCACCGAGGTGTCAATAATACCCTGTTATTTAAATTTAATTTTTCCAGGTACCAAATCCGAGATATGGATCCGGGAATCCGAAATCAATGCCTGGACTTCATGCAGGAAGTGTTCCTCCGAGACGAACCCCTATCTAAAGCACTAGGTAAGGAACAACCCCTATTGATCCCCATCCAATTCAAACGCGGATCGAAATTACAAAGGCCTAAGCCGAGATTCGGGGTACTCAAATAACTTTTGATCCCCTCCGATTGATCCCCCGTCCAATTCAAACGGGGATCGAAATTAGAAAGGGCTGAGCCGAGGTTCGAGGTACTCAAATAACTTTTGATCCCCTCCGATTGATCACCTGTCCCATTCAAATGGGGATTGAAACTACAACGACCAGAGCCGTGGTACTTAAATAACTGTGTCATACGAGTCATTGTTATACTAACTCCTTTACAATACAGTCTGCTCGACTTTGGAATGCTTTGCCGACGGAGGTCAGATTGTCTTCATCGGTTTACTCTTTTAAGGCTCGCCTTAAAAAACTTTGGAGTCACACTGCAGATGCGCTGTTTTAGTATTCTTCATATATTTTTTTTTTATATAGTAATATTGTTTTTTATATATTTCTGCTGTTACTATTTATACATTTGTTATTTTATTATTATTATTTTATATGTAGGTATATGTATTTATATATTATACTTAAATATTTATTTAATATTCTAGTTGTTATATATTATAGATATATAATGCGTTTGCTTCTTTTTCCTTTGTTATTATTGTCATGTATATATATAGTCCCACCACTCCACAATTCCTTTCAGTCATTCAAAGGTTGATTGGAAGAAATCCCTCATTTGGGATAAGTCCGCCATTGTACATCTTATATATATATTTTTTAAGATCGTGTATCTTTAGTTAATTTAAATGCATTTATTGTGCAATAAAGTGTTACAAACAAATACAAACAAACAACTTTTTTGGAAATACATACATAATATACATAGAAAACACCTAGACTGTTACGAAAGAAATTAAATTGCGGTTGCAGGGTGAGATCAGATAGCGTAATTACAGAATAAGGGTTACTAAAGTTCATAGCCATACCATTGTCTTCTGAAAAGGCAACCTGTGTTGCCGTTAGCACACACATCATTCCATACATCACCTGCTTCTTCCTTATCCCATTTTTTTGTGGTCGGCGTAATATGTTTTTCTCTTCCATTCATCCCTATTCGCAGTCATCTCGTTATTTACTTCCTTTCTTACCATATCATCTTTCACACAGTCCATCCATCTCTATTTCGGCATTCCTCTGCCCTTATAACCATCCACATTCATATGTAACACCTTTCTTAAAATATTGTCTTGTTACATGTCCATACCATGATAGACTCTTCAACCTCTCCGACACCGGTGCCACTTTCATACTTCCTCTAATGTATTGTACACACAGAAACATTCTCATCCATAAAAAAATCTTATTACAGATGTAAAATCAGATCCAGCATCAATAAAAACAATCAGACAAAACTGGGAGATGTTTCTAGACCAAAATGTGAGCTTGGCCTGCTTCACGGAGGACGAGGATGGCAACCCTGACCAGCTGGTAGCTTTCAACATCATCATTATTAGGACTATAGACGAGCCTGACTCCGAGTTTAAACACGTAAGTATACTACCTACGGACAGGGAGGAAGGGCATCGTTAGTCATGTGGACTAATAACCCCATTGTTACACGTGACCTCCACATGGTTCTCCTCCAGTATTCCGTCGTGATAAATTCATGGTGAATTTACATGAATTTGTCGCGATGGGCTAACTGACCTGACTTAGGGGGAAAGTGCATTGTTAGTAACGTGATGAATTCATGGTGAATTTACTACGATGGGCTAACTGAATGTGGACTAATAACCCCATTGTTACACGTGACCTCCACATGGTTCTCCTACCATACCACTGACCTAACTTAGGTAAAGGAGATTGTTAGTAATGTGGACTGATGATCTTATTCCTAGCAATGTACCATGTCAGTTGATTCCACGCGGTTCTCCTGGAAACCATTGTGATAAATTCACGGTCTTTACTACGATAATTAAAAAAAAAATCAGTTGGGTTTCTTGCCGATTCTTCTCAATTGAATTTGTACTGAACTGGACGGTAGAGAAAAGTTATAATACAAAATATGTGACGTTCATAATCAGCTCAAATGTCCTACATGAATAAATTATTTGATTTGGAAAAACTGAAAACTAGTGTTAATTTGTAGTTTTTATTCACACACTTAAACTTAAAAATGTAAAGTAACAATAAAATTATTTAAAAGAGCAACACGCAAGTTCCTAGCTCGTTCTTCTTGTGATGAGACAGCTTTCCGAATGAGCGGTAGATTAAAAATTTAATTGACTATTCAAAAGTGCTTCAATCTGTGTTTATTTGAATAAATTATTATATTTTTTTATACTACTATGGTGGTAAGCAAGCATACGGCCCATCTGATGGTAAATGGTTACCGTAGCCTATGGACGCCTGAAGCAACAGGGGTGCCACATGCGCTATTCTATTCTATTCGTTTTTCAGGAAGACGGAGAGTCGTGGAACAAACTGATGAGGACACTGGTGGAAGCTGAGAGCCTGGTGAATGTATTTAAACACTACCAAGTGGATACATACCTGTCGTCGAGCGGGCTCACCGTACTGCCGGAGTTCAGGGGACAAAATATAGGCGCTAGGATGTTTGCTGCCAGGTATTTTCACTTGGGATGACTTTCAAATATACATATACAAGCTATATGTTCCTAAACAAAGATTGGCACTTTTTTCATAAACATTTTCAATCATCTTCCAGACAATTATAGAAATTTGAACACTAAACAATTTAAAAGTAAATTATTTAAAGAATTACTAAATAAATATTATTAATCCACAAATGATTATTTAAATGATAATAATAGATTGTATTAATAGTTTTAAATATAATAATGTAATATAAATATTATTGTAATATTTTACACGCCGTAAACGGCAGGGCATGTTTGAAACGATTATAATCTTAAGAAATAAATTGAATTGAAATTAAATCAAATCAAATCGAAAATCATTTATTCATGTAGGATATTTTAGCCGCTTATGAAAATTATAGGTATTAATATTTTTCCTCTACCGTCCAGTTCAGTAGGTATACAGATAAATTGAGATGAACTGGCAAGAAACTCAACAGATTTTTTTTAGTAGTCCTGTAACATACATATTACAAATTTTATATGGAGGCGTAATAAAACATAACCTTAATAATAAGCAATAAACAGCACTATGCTAACAATGAAACAAACACGAAAACGTACGAAATCGAATCCACGAATACGCACACTACACTTACGCTTTGTAGTTTTATAACCAGCTACAGCTAAGAAAATTAACTAAATTTTAAATTGTATTATAAGTATAATAAATCGCACATCCCGTGTAAAAAGGCCGCAACTACACTTGCGTCAAAAATGTTTTATTACATAAATAAAGCGAGCTTCGCGGTTTACACCTTCTGTCAAAATCTCATGAAGCTATCGACAAAAATGAAGGAATAAATGCAAAAATACTAAAATTTTGCGACTTTAGAAAACATAAAATTCCAGCATAAAATAGAGGTATGCGTATTTGCATTTATTCGCTTTACAATTATCCCGCTCATAAAGTCATAATTGTATTTACGTAAATTTTAAAAGAAGATTTACAAAAAAATGTTTAACGCAAATATACTTAAATACTTGTTCCTATATCTTACAATCTAGGACTATTGTGTAATTCTAATTACTTACTTCTTCTACGAAACTTTTAGCTGATAGTTTATGTGTGATTATTGTTACATACTTTTCCCCCAGCAAAACTTCACAATGCGTAAAGTGTAGTTGTAGTTACTTCTTTATTACACGTAACATTTCATACCTGATGTTGGGTAATTTTAAATACAGCATGTATTTACAAGAAAAAAAAATTAAGAATATGTTCATGTAATTAAAATTAAGTAAAAAAATAAACTATTTTTAGCTAATTGTATAAGCTGACGGCGCACCAATGATGGATGATAGGAGGAGCAGGAGATCAGATGAATTTGCCAGGAATAGTAATAATAAATGATAGAAAAATCGATCTGCTTTTAGACATTTACCATAGAAGAGCGAATTGATACAAGTGTATATAAAAACAATAGATAAAAAGAATACTTCTATTTTAAATATGGATAAACGAATATACAATTGCCAGTGAATCTTATTGTAGGTCTAACAGGAATTAACTAACGATGGTTTCCAGGATGGACCGCGTGGAACTAAATGTACCTTATATTGCTAGCAATAATATTCAATATTAATTCCCGCTACCCATAATAGGTACACATACAATACTAGCTGGTCCCGCAAACGTTACTTTGTTATAAATTACTAGCTGTGCCCGCGTTAAATTTCAATAAAAAATATATCCTGTGTTATTCAGATGCATAAGCTATATTAGTGTAAAGTTTCGTAAAAATCCATTCAGTAGTTTTTGCGTGAAAGAGCAACATACAAACTTACAAACTTTCACGTTTAGAATATTATATTAAGATTAAGATTTCTGAAAACTATTAAGGGGGTTCGAATTCGAAATTCAAATTCGAAAAAATCGATTTTTTTTTCATAAATTGCTCCCTTAACATGTCTAGAATACGGTAGTAAAGCGATTTTAGAAAATTCGAAGTCGTTTTAAAGATACAGCAGGTAAAAGAAAGAGCGGTTCGGAGCGGTGAGTTGGCAGTTAGAGACCGGGCCTATTGTGTACCGTCGGCTTTATACCTGGCCTCCCTTTTATTAATATATTTGTTTATACAAGTTTAGACACGTTTCTACAGACTTAAACAGAAATTTCTATTGTTATAATATTTTACCGAAGCTATTTTAGTCTTGGTTGAACTTCGAAGAGAGCAACAGCTACAAATTATTTTTTTTCATAATGAGTGGACGGATCAGGAAGTACTGAAATGTTCATCCTGGTCGTAGTAAAAAAAGAAAGTTTAGTGGAAACCGTCTTACCCACCAAAATGATACGGTATTTACATCAAAAAAACTTAAAAATAACATGAACATGAATGTGCCCATCGCTTCGAATTTCGCATATTGCATTTTGGAGTTTGTTTCTGTATTTGTGCAATCTCTGATATATATGTAAAACTTGTAAAAGTGACGTGTCTATTTCGCGATCAAGTTTCCGAGGCCAGGCTTTAAAATTATTTTATCGTGTGAGTGTGAAAAACAGACAGTTATAAACTCAGGCCCGTTGATCGGAAATGCATTTGAGGTTAATCGTCGGTTTATATTTGCGATGCGATTATTGGGAGTTGGTCAAGAAGGAGTAAATCTTTTCTGTAGCTTTATGGACATGTGTTCGGGTGTTGCAAATTCTACTTATACTGCACTACTGGAAAACATTCATATTGCTACATCTTCACTGTGTGATACTTTATTGGCATTCGCTGTTACGCAAGAAAAAACTATGAATGAAGAATCAGGAAAACCACAGGATGAATTGATTGTGTCAGGTGACGGTACTTGGAAGAAAAGAGGCTTTTCATCTCTGCTCGGCGTATCTACGTTGATCGGCATACACTGGCAAAGTTTTAGATGTCATGGTCATGAGTAGTTTTTGTGGTGGATGTAATTTGTGGAAAAATAAAAAAAAAACAAATCCTTTAGAATACGAGATGTGGTATGAAACGCATGTAGATGAATGCACCATAAACCATTCCGGAAGTTCCAGGTAAAATGGAAATAAGTGCCATCACGAAAATGTTTCTGAGGTCTGTAGAAAAATATGGCGTAAAGTATCTAACATACATTGGCGACGGTGACAGCAAAACTTTCAAGGGCATCCTAGATACTAAACCGTATGGAGATACTGCGGTAACAAAAAAAGAATGTGTGGGTCACGTAGAAAAGAGGATAGGAACACGACTTCGGGCTATTAAAAAGGATAAAACCAATAAAGGAATAGGAGGAAAAGGAGCAGGTAAACTTACTGATAAAGTTATCCAAGAAATTACAAAATTCTACGGATTAGCAATTCGACGCCATCCAGATTCGCTTGAAGATATGAGAAAGGAAGTTTGGGCAACGTACTATCACAAATGTTCTTCTGATGAAAACCCTCAGCATCAATTTTGTCAAAGGCGAAGACAGTTGGTGTAAATGGCGTAAGGCTGAATAATGAACTGGACCAATTTCATCACGATAAACCACCTCTAATTCCGCAAGTCCAAGAAGCTATCAAACCGGTTTTCGAAGATTTATCGAAAGACGAAATATTAATTCGTTGTTTAGGAGCAGAGACACAAAACAATAACGAATCTTTGAATTCTTTGATTTGGACTTTCGCTCCTAAACATCTTCATTCTGGTCCCAAAGTTGTTGAAATTGCTAGCTACTTAGCAGTTATTATCTTTTATGAAGGTTTTCAAGGTATTTTAAAAGTTATGTCGATTATGGGATGCCCTGTTGGTCGTGAAGCCCAAGCGTATGTTGAGAAACGGGATGAAAAGCGAATCTTACGCTTTGAGCGGCGCGTAAGTGATGTGGTTAAACAAGCCAGGATTGACTCAAGAGCTGAACAATCTGCTTTAAAAGAGTAAGAGGAAGGAATACTCTATGGACCAGGCATCGCCGATATAAGTTGATATTTTAATAGTTTTTAACGGACTTGAAACTTTAAACGCGTTTTTCTCAAAACTGTGTTTTTCAAACTTTCCTCCATTGTATCTCAGAAACGGCTGGACCGAATTACTTGAAATTTACAGGGCACACTCAATATATGTAAACGCATGGAATGAACTATTATCAATCGAAAATTTTCAAAACTTCGATTTTTTTATAGCAAAAAACAAAAAAAAAAAAACGCCTAATTTGCAACTTTTATTTCAAATGTCTATCAAAAATCCAATTTTTTTTATATTCATTTGATTATAGGTCATTCCGTGCTTTTAAGCCTACAAATTAAAACGCCGTTTTTTTTTTTTTTTGATAAGCCGATCAGCCGGAATCGTGGAGGAAGTGGGAGCTCTTTTTTTCGAGGCGGGGGTGTTCAGAGCGCTGTAACTCTAGTTTGACTGAATATTTTTAGCTGAAATTTTATATTTATACTGTCCAAATATGTGTTAATAAATGATAAAAAACTTGAAGCTCTAAATATTTACTGGTCGTAAAAAAAAAATCCTAAAATATCCCTAAAAAACAGGCCGTCACATAGGAAGACCCCCTTAAAGTACTAATCATCATAATTTCAACTTGTTACCCACAGTTGGATATAGGCCTGTCCGAATTCGGCTTTGGTGGTCTAGCGTTTAAGCACACCGATTTACTTCCAATGGTCGCGGGTTCGATTCCTCGGACGGTGCAGATATTTGTATTCCTGAGTATGACTGTTTGTGTTGGTCTGGGAGTTTTCTATGTATATGTTTCATGTATGTATATAAAATCTAAGTATTTATTGATATAAAGCTTGTGTTATAACTGATGTTGTCCCATAACACAAGCTCTTCATACCGGTGACTAGAAGGCGCTGTTAATTGTTGAGTATTTATTTATTTCCCAATTTCTTACACCATGTGCGATCTTCCGCCTTTTGTTTCCATCGACTCCCGGTCACCTTCGTGATATCGTCGGTTTATTTTGCAGGAAGGCGCCGGACACTCCTTAACTTATATTAGAACTAATATCGCTATTAAAATGTAGTTGATGGTAGAAGGAGGAAATGTAGGAGTTCGATGTATGTATTATTATGATTTTTTTATGATTCAGTTAACGATGAAGGTGGTCCAAATCGATAAGGTTGTTGATAACATACTAATAGACCAATCAAAATAAGAAGTAAACAAAAATTTCATTGATCAAATTAATATGTTTCCACATAAAGAATCGCATTATCTCCGCAATCTAACAATGATAAATTCTAGATGAAAAGCATAATTGCGCTAAAATGCATAGTTTATACTTATAGTGCATTAAGAAAAACCCAGATTATGAAAATGTTACTCCAACCTCTCAGAGATGGTACTATAATATTAGGTACTTACATATGAAATTGGTGTTTTGTCGTACTGGCCACTTTGATCTCAAATATCTCCTCTTTCGCCAGGAATTCAAAGTTCAAATTTGTACAGTTATTTACTCATGCATTTGTTTTTCGAAAACCGTAATCTATATGTTTTTTCCATCTTTGGTTTTTCTTTACGTCACTGAGTTTACAAAATGGAAAACATAAAATATCGCGTTTTTTAAGAGTTTCCGTCGTGGCACCAGTGTGCAGAAACGACTCGAAGAATTAATGATGTGTATGGCGATGGTGTTGCAAAAGAAAACACGGTGCGTTTTGGTTCCAATGTTTTCGTTCTGGAAATTTCGATCTGCAAAACAAGCCCCGTGAGCAGCCAGAGTCCAAGGTTGATAATGAAGAATTAAAGGCTAATGTGGAAGCGGATCCATCGATAACCACGTCGAGTTAACTGCAGGCTGCAGTTTAGTAACAAAACTGTTTTAATCCACTTGAAGCAAATTGGGAAGGTGAAAAAAGCTTGAAAAGATCATGAATTGAATGGAGCAAATCGACAAACGCGCGTAGACTGCTGCGTTATTAGCCAACCGGCATAATAATGAAGGGATTTTAAATCGGATCATTACCTGTTATGAAAAGTGGATCTTGTACGATAATCGGAAACACTCATCGCAATGGCTGAATCCTAGCAAACTAATCAAATCCTGCCCCAAGCGAAAATTCAAACTCAAAAAAAGTTACTTGTGAGCACTTAGTGGACTAGTGCCTGTGTTGTTCACTTCAGCTTTCTTAAATCTGACCAGAATATTATGGCAGATGTGTATTGTCAGCAATTGCAAACCATGATGGAAAAGCTAGCTGCTAAACAACCGAGACTGGTCAATCACCGTAGGCCACTGCTGCTTCAGGACAACGTTACGAAATTAGAAGAGCTTCAAATGTCCAATATTTCCACCGTACTTCCCGGATCTTGCTTTCTTTCAAAATTTGGATAACTTCTTGCAAGGGAAAAAATTCAAATCCGATTTATCGATACCCGTCCTAATGGTTTTTTAGTAAAGGGATCAATAAAACTACATTTTTACATTTTGATTAAATAAATATATTATATTTTGAAAAATCAACTGAAATTGGCGTTTTGTAAGGGAGTAATTAGGTTACTCCCTTACAAATTTCATATGTTAGGACTTAATATATTTACTAAACGAGTTGGAGTAAAATTAAAGAGATTTCGCAGATCCTCAATGTCCGGGGAAATTCCAAATAAAATACGCATTCGCTGATGAGACACCAAATAATAGACAAATAGAAGGGGAAGAGTTATGAGAAAAAAAAGCTGCACACAGCGAGCCTTCTGAAATCAAGCATTAGTATGATGCACCGTTACCGATATAAAATATATACAAAGACTTGATGAATCTATATAAAGATAAAAACATACCACCACACTATCGACGTTTTGTAAGAACTTAAGTACTACATCTAAGACTAAACTAAACTAAACCACAGAGTCCGATTCAAAAGTTGAGGATAATGAACGTTAATAAAAATAATAAAAATATCACTATTTTGAACATTTTTTGATTAAGTTGATTATGGAGGCAATAAACATTTCTTTAAAAATAATAATAAAATAATAATAACCCTGTTTGTTTTCATATTCTCTAAATTAATTTGCCCCTATATTTATACTTTTGACTTACATGCACGCACATAATAGACTATTTACTGTAAGAAGTAATTACATGATACAAATTAAATATTCAGTTACTTTCCGCATTATAAAAGCTATTTTTATAAATACACTAACTAAACTAAAATAAATGGCTCCCTAGAAATACGTAACTCGATGTACAAAAAATGATATTTCGTTAAATAACAACGTAATTATACTTGCAATTCTAGATTTTAATGAAATATAGGAGAGTATAAAGGCGTAAGTAGAGTTAAATTTGTTCATATATGTAAAAATACATAACAATAAAGCAATAATTGTAGTTACCCCTGCAAATGTTCTTTGTGTTTCGTGGAATACAGAAGTAACCGTGTTTTTTTAGATTATCTGGAAGTACATGAAGCTGTTCCTAAATTAAATGACACATGTAGTTGAAGGCAACTGTGACCTACGATTTTCTCTTTGAAACTTATTTCTAGAACTCATACAAAAAATATAGGACAGTTTTTTTAAGCTCCTGAAAAGTTGGTGAAAATCACTTACTTCCTTTTTCCACGAATGGTGCGAAATCTAGGCACACATTCACTCTATTCACAGCAAGTCTAGTACCAAGGTAAGCAGAGCTTGTGCTATAGTTGTGTTATCGTGCGAGGAATCGAACCTGCAACCCTAATAGTAAAGTGGTGTGGCAAACCTAGTGGTTAGACAGCCAAGATGCTCTAGTGAGCACCTTGGCTGTCTAGCTAGTGAATAAATAATACCATTTCATTACAGGGAGCCTCTCTGCCGAGCCCTGGGAGTAACTGCTTCTTGTACTGTATATACAGCGACCACGTCGCAAGTGCTCGCTGCAAAGTGTGGTTACGAGGTATTGGGTACTATGGACTATACCCACATGATGAAGTACGGGATCGACCTGAGTGGCTCCGAGTGCCCGAACGCTAAAGTTATGGGCATCAAATTTGATTTTTAACTGTTATTTTTTAATTAAAATACCATTCTGATCATCATGGATGAATGGCCATCCTCCACAGTGGGGTTTTATAGAAACTTTTGCCACGCATTTTCTATTGCATATATCACGGTGTTCTGAGGCTTTGTTCGGATACCAGCATTGAGTTTCACCGTACAGTACAGATTCAGAAGGATATATACGGCTGCTGAGTTTCATATATAATAGAAACTGTAATACAAAAAAAATCATCTGGATGAATGGCAATCTCTCACCGTGCGGTTTTATAAACTTTTTGACACAATTTTCTATTGCATATATCACGGTGTTCTAGATGGCGCTGTGATAAATATCAGCTGCTGAGATAAACCATTAAAAAATTTAAATACTATCCTGATCATCTGGATGAATGGCAATCTCTCACCGTGCGGTTTTATAAACTTTTTGACAAGCATCTTCTATCTCATATATTACGGTGTTCTGAGATTTGTTCGGATATATATCAGCTGCTGAGTTTCACCATCGTACCACCAGAAATTGAAATACCGTCCTGATAATCTGGATGTATGGCGGTCCTCCACAATGCGGTTTTATAGAAACTTTTGCCACGCATTTTCTATCTCATATATTACGGTGTTCTGAGATTTGTTCGGATATATATCAGCTGCTGAGTTTCACCATCGTACCACCAGAAATTGAAATACCGTCCTGATAATCTGGATGTATGGCGGTCCTCCACAATGCGGTTTTATAGAAACTTTTGCCACGCATTTTCTATTGCATATATCACGGTGTTCTGAGGCTTTGTTTGGATACCAGCTGTTGAGTTTCACCACAGTATCACCAGAAACTGAAATACCGTCCTGATAATCTGGATGAATGGCGGTCCTCCACAGTGCGGTTTTATAGAAACTTTTTGCCACATACAACTACATTGTGGAATCACCTTCCAGCAATGGTATTTCCGAACCGATACGATATTGAAACCTTCAAGAAAAGAGCTTGTTTCTTCTTAAAAGGCCGACAACGCACTAGCAATTCCCCTGGTGTTGCGGGTGCTCATAGGCGGCGGTAATCACTTACCATCAGGTGAGCCGCAAGCTCGTTTATGCTTTATGCTATAAAAAACTATGATGAAATAAGGAACTAAGGTATATGTTGACGAATTATCAGTCAAAGACATGAAGTCGTGAAATGTTCGCTTATCATCAGACAAGCCGTATGGTTTATTTTCAATTTCCTGCGAACATCATATTCAATAATCTTGTACGTTTTTACTTGTAAATGTGTAATTAATTTGAAATCAGTATTATTTTTTTATTGTAGCTAAATTAATAAATATTAAAGAGTTTTGTACATGTAATTGTTTATTTCTTTAATTTTTAAGTTGTGAAATATCAATAAATGCTATGACTATATATAATATGCCATGACTAATAGCTTTTTTTATGTATGATAATAAAATGGTGCACCCGCCTGCGCTGACGGTATACGCTGGTGCTGCTGTGAAACTGTAACAGACCCTGTTACAGTTTCACAATCACTGTACATACAGTGGTTCCGAAAGAGCCATGTCATCTTTCCACATCAATATATTGTATTAATAAAACAATACCCTTTTGATACATTCCTTTCGTATTACTCGCGGTTTTCGGCTAAGAGACAAGTATTGTATATATTTGTATTATAATCATTTCACATCATTACCTCTTTTCATGACTCTCTGGCCGCTTACAGACAAGACAGACACGTTCCATATTTTCACCTATAAAATATTCTCACGTCATCCGTCACTCGCTACATACAACTATAATTGTAATAATATTTTCTAATATCGATTTATATAATTTTCCTTAATATACATTTATCATTTTTTTTTTTTTTATTGGGTTGTTTGGGCTATTGTCAGATGTGTAGCACCTGTAGCACTGCGACCTACATAGATCTATTGTGCTCGCCCTTTTCAGAGTTCGCTACCTAGACCCGTCAGGGACAAGAATTGAAGGATATTCTTGGGAGCGATGGTTTTTATCTCCTCGGGAAAGAGTGTAAACTTTCCAAAGGAGATATTTCGTTTATGCATGAGTGGGCTACAACCACATAGGATGTGAAGCGGCGTTTCCTCTTCAGTTTGGCAGAATCTGCAGATTGCGTGCATAGGTTATACATTTATCATTTGCTGAGGGTCTATTTTATTTACATTATAATTACTACCGACACACAAGGACTGAAATGATCAGTCTGTTACTAAACTTCACTCAAGACGCGATTTCCTTATTAAAATACAAATAATTGTTTTTTTTTAAAAACTATCCCTAAATAGATTTTAAAAAAACATTTATAGACCCACTTCGTAACAGGTCACCAGTGGAGAACGAAAAGATGAGTTTATCACGATGGTTTCCAGGAGGAACCGCGTGGATGTTAACCTGTCATGGTGACGTGAAGGGGATTGTTAGTAATGTGGATTGATAACCCCATTGCTAGCAATGTACCATGTCAGGTCGACCTCCACGCGGTTCCCCCTGTTAAACCATCGTGTTAAATTCCTGGTGAATTTGCACTACGGGCTAACTGACCTGACCTCATGCTCATCTTATCATCCTCCACTGGTGCCCCGCCAGCGTAAACCGTTAGCTCAGGCGGTTGCACCATTCCATTAACATCCATAAAAAAACCTGTCATGGTACATTGCTAGCAATTAGGTTATTAATTCACATTACTATCGATACCCCTCCCCGCAGCTGATGAACTTTACAGCTTCACCGGAGGATAGGGGGCGAGTGCAGATGGCACTCCAAACCTTCGAAAGGACTTATAGAGTGGCTGAAGGCCAACTCGCGTCTGACGGATACGACTTTAGTCTCAGGCCGTTGTAATTCCCCAGTTGTAATGTAATTGTAAGTAAATTGTAGTTTGAATTAGGTGATCGAAGAAAGAGGATATAAATTTCATGATTTTGCAGTTATAACAAGTTTGGCCTAAGTTTCACTACTTACTTACTTCAGTCGCCAAGTATCTGTTCCGTAGAATAGTAAGATAAGGTAGCAAAATTACTGGATAAGTTATTGCACCTTATTTCTTCGAATAGCAACGGATGAGTTGTATCATAAGTATCACGTGATAACTTTGATGTTCATATATAAGGACCAGGACATTATCGACTACATACGGACGAGGAGCAACCTAAGGTCTGCAAATTCAGTACTGTGTGAAGAAAATGAAACACAAATTAGTTTTGATATAGTTATTTATTAATATATCTTTATATAATACTATAATATTATAAATGCTGTGAAAATCACTATAAAACGCATATATCTTATCAGAAATATGAATTTTAAACATTCGTGTATACTATACTATAGGTAAGTAAAGTTTTATACAATTTTAAGGAATTAAGTAATATTTTGCAGAATCCATTTTGTTAGTTAATGAATGTATTAATTTGTTTATTTTCGCTATAATTCATATACATGGGAATACAAATGATTCAAAAGAACACACAAGTTTTTCGCTCATTCTTCTTGTGAGGAATCTGTCTTCCCAATGAGTGGTAGAATCAAAAATATGACTATTCAAAAGTGCTTGTATTGAGTTTATATGAATAAAGATTATTTCTATTTAATGAGGATAGTCGGAATATTTGGTCCATAATGCAATATTGGTGTAGATTTATAACCTAAAATTAATACAAGAGACAGCAGTACGTTCGCCACTTACTACTTTTGGGTTCAAAATATACCTAGCGAAATGTGGCCGTTTTTTTTGCTATGATAGTGGTAATCCAGCATACGGCACACATGATGGTAAATGGTAGCCATAACCAGCCGTAACAGTGGCCTATAGACGCAAGAAAGATCAGGGACGTCACGTGCGCGTGGCTGACCCTTGATATATCATACTTCTTAAAAAACCCCATGCTGTAGTCTCTCGAGAGAACCTCAGCAGGTAATTTCTATGTTAAGTGTTGTCACATACATCGACAGTTGACAATGTATCTGATCACCTCATCATTACGTAGTATAAAATAAAGTCGCTGTCGCTGTCTGTCCGTCCCTATGTGTGTGCGTTGTGTTGCGTTTTGTTGCTGCTTGTACGCGACAACTAAATAAGTTTTTCCCTTTTAAATACTGCATAATTGGCAATCTGCTGTCATATACAATAGTCCATTCTGTTGGCTCTTTTTTTTTAAATGTATTTTCTTTTTAAATTAATGATGCTGCCTCAATGAGTCAGTGTTCAGGCGCTGTGAATCTTTCCGATATTATAATTATAAAAAAAATGTAATTTGTTTGTAATGGATAAACTGCAAAACATATTACAAGGGTTATAAAAATTCTTTCATGTATACAAAACCTTACTTTCATAATAAAACACTAAACTAGACTTAAACTAGATTTGTAACCGGTGTTTGTTCACACACCAGGTTAAATATTGAGCGGAGCGCATTTATTAAAAACTCGACCTCGATCAATCGGAATTTCTGGAATGTTGAGTGGCAAACGATGGCGGCCCGAAGTTTGATGTTACCTATGAAAATTTGGTCCCGATCGGTCGAGCCGTTTCGGAGGAGTATCGTTACAAACAGTGCAAACCTGATCGCTCCGCATCTCGCGCTCCTTTCAATCATCTATATTATTATAGTCAAATAATACTTGTCATGTTGTAATACATGTCAATATTACATAACAATTTTAGTAAATAAATAAATTGTTATTAAATGGGCTAACTGACCTGACCTCATGCCCATCTTATCATTCTCCACTGGTGCCCCGCCAGCGTAAACCGTTAGCACAGGCGGATGCACTATTCCATTATCATCCCTTAAAAAAATGCTTAAGGTATATTTTTATATAAAAGTAACTTTTTGCGAGGGTGCTAATTAACTCACCCTCGGAGCTGACGTGCACTAGGCTTCATAATAAATATATTAAGCATTTTGTAAGTTATCAACCGGAGGAAATTCATTCACTGATCCGTTTAATTGAAATTTTAAATTTTAAAAATCTGATGACGCAATATCATTATTAATTCCTATAATGTAAGTCAAAGGGGCCGCTCAAATATTATGTAAGCAGATTTATTACAATTATTTACCCCCCCCCCCCCTTCCCCCTTATCATCAAAAGTAAGCAAAGCTTACCCCCTCCCCCCATGATTACGTAAACATTTTTCAATTAATGTATTTTTTTTAGCAAAGACAATGTGAGGGTTGCCATTCGAGTAAAAAAGTAAATGATGACCGATGACGTAATAATCATCTAGACTCCCGTACCCCCCATGTCATCCAAAATAAAAAAAATATAGACCCCCCAGCCCCCATAGTGTTACATAATACTAGAACGGCAAAGTTACAAATGTAAAGTCCATACACATGTAATCCATGAAGCAAGTTACAGAACCTCGTCTTATGCTTGCATACGCAATTTTGAATGCTTGAGGTGTTTTTTTCTTAGTCAAATTAAAATGTTACTAACCAACATAATCATACAATAATAATAATTTTATACAATCAAGAATATACACATTTTCCTCTAGATTATAGTAAACTTTGGTTTAGTCAATATTAATATTTAGATATTACAAAGAAACTCTTACAATATTATAATTATTATAAAAATACTTGCGTTATATTAAGTTTGTGCTTCAAGAAAAAATAATTAAGTTTTATACAAACAAACTATAATACGTAATATTATACATATAGATATTGTATGTTTCAAATTATACCAAATTTGAATTTAAATGAATCTGTATTATTGTAAACATGTACAACATTTATTTGAAAAGAATACGAGCTGAGTTTCTAGTCAGTACTCATCTCGAAATCATTCCGAACTGACGGTAGATTTGACATATCATAAGAGTCTGTAATAGACCTACATGCATAAAGATATTTTGAATTTTAATTAATAATAGAAGTTTTACTTAAATCAAATTAAAACATTAAAACTGAAATATATAAACAAAGTATATGTTATATTTAATAATATGCGGTGGTGCACCAGCGGTGGCTTCAGGGTCTTTTATATCAAACATAAACATATACAATTTACAATTCTATAAATATATAATTTCCACTTTACTTGAAATCAATAGTCCGGCTGCTCAGAGTTTGCGTTTCGGACAGGTCGGGATCGAATGGCCGATGTAACTTTGAACTGACGTACAATGTAAGGCATAAATTTAAATATCTTTTACTTACCTTATTAACGAGTGATAACATTAAAAATTTAATTATTATTCCAATTTACTATAAATGTTTTAATTTGGGCTAATAAAAATTCTAAAAACGATAGTTAAAAGTCATACCACATTAAACAGCGCTGTTTCAAGGTTATGTCAACTGATTTTGTAGTAATGACCAAATAATCCCGCCCTGCGTAAACGCAAACTGAGCGGCCGAATCTTAACTGGCACTTTTTGGGCGACTCTACAATAGAAAGCTACATTTCGAAACTGTCGAGACAAAATCGATTTCATTCGAGAAAAAAATACTTTTTTTTAAATAAACTAATATTTGAATTTAAATTTAGAATTGGCTCTGTTATTGTCATAGACAACGTTCGAAAAGTCATTCGAATTCGAGACAAAACAATGGAATTTAAATTAAGAATTTTTCATTGTAACGCGCCTAACATAGACACTGGCCAGTTACAACTTTTAATAATATAGTTTTGTTTTTAATTTTATACAATATTGATAACATTTCATTGTTGAGGGTGTCTTATTTTTCTTACTCTATTTAAATTTAGAATTGGTCCTGTTATTGACATAGACAACTGCCATTTTTAAATAAAAAATGGAAGAGTAAAAGTCGTTCGAATTCGAAAGAAAGATCTGGAATTTAAATTAAGAATTTTCCTTGTAACGCGCCTAACATAGACACTGGCCAGTTAGAACTTTTAATCATAGTAATATAGTTTTTTTTTTAATTTTTACAATATAGATACCACTTCATTGTTGGCTGTATATATTTATTCTTATTCTATCTATTTAGTTTCTCGTTCAACCAATCTGCGGTCAATTCGTCTATCTCTCTCACTTCTAGTAGGCGGGGAGCTCCTACCGCCGCCGCTAGCGCCCTCTGTGTTCCCGCGTACATAACCTGAAGCGTAAATATGTGATATTTTTAATGAAATTTGAGATTTTACTTCATTCTTATTGAATGAATTTCCTGATTTTTCTTAATTGGTAGAATACAAGTAGAATTGTAATTTTTAAACTTTCGTGTTTAATAGGCCTATTACAAAATGATGCCGCTCACTTTAGGTTTAATCGCATGGATTTACGCACACATACAGTAATACACGCACACAGACGCAAATAACCGTGTAGCTCAATCGGTGTGGATTTAGTATGAACCATTTTGATCCTTGTAATATTTTAATTAATAATGTGATATGTTTCTACTTAACTGAGACTACTTATTGGATTTTTTTAAATAACGTGATTTATCTTAATTATCAAAGTGCTAATAATGACCATATTTTTTTATTATATTATTCCTAGAGGGTTGATGTCAGGATGCTGGCCGATTGTACAACTAAAAGCCAAAACCTTAAGTAATATGAGTAACAAATAATTGGGATAAGGACAGGAAGATGAAATTACTATAACATAAATTTACTAATTAATTCTTCTTACATATTAATTCAGTTTATTTATTAATAGATACAATATAATTTATTATAAGAGTCAACATTATTGCCATATTCACTTGTTCTAAATATTATACTTAGCAAATAATTATTTTATTTATATATAATAGTTGTGTTTTCAAGGCTTTGTTTTGATTTAAAGGTCCCATCCTTATATGTATATTAGGTGTGTCCGCGACTTCGTCAGCGTGGTATAATGAAATTGACCAAATAAAGGAAATATATTTAGATTATAACCTAAAAAAGTTTCTTTGTTTCAATTAAAAAATGACGATACTTTTATACAACCTTTCATCTCCGCTTTTATATATTTAGAATACTTTTTCGCACTATAAAGTAGTCTATGACCTTTCTCAAACTATACTATCTGTGTATATGTATATCTATCTATATAGATTGTGTATATATATGGTAGTGAATTTACAAGGTACAGGGGAATAACACCCGAGTTTTCAGGAATGGCAACGCATGAGGGAAACAATGTGCTGATATGAACATGGCAGGTACGCTCATGTATATAGGCGACGGTTACCCCTTTCCATCAGGAGAGCCGTCAGCTTGTTTGCCATTCTAAGTTGTAAAAAAAAAGCTTCAACTGCTATCATTGCTGTTCCTGCATCATTGACGTCGCCGCATGATATTGGCTGATATTGCAGCTTCTCGTTCTTGGTTGGCCGATTCTTGATTCTTGATAAATAATTAATTGTTAATGTCAAACCTTTTTATAAATTATTATAAGACGCCTCATTGATTATATGTAATGAAATCACCATGAGCTATAGAGATTTTGGACAGAACCTTAAAAGACCTTAGAAACACCTCTGCTCTCATTGGCGGGATTACTTTTATACTTTTGCTGGAGATTTCTGAAAGACTCTCTGTGTCATTAACATCGTCTTGGTGGCTTATGGACTTTAATTGAAAGTTTAAAACTACTGACAAATTTGAGAGCTCATTTTTATGGAAGCACAGATAGTGATTTCCCACACTAAATGCTCAAACTTGAGGAAGGAATTTCTCAAAAGCATGATCCAGTCATGAAATTTAAGCCCGCCGAACATGTGCAATGGCGTCCCATTAGTTATATTGCTTACTAAAGAATTGAAAGACAATTTAATTGTAGACCATTATAACCGGTACGTTAGCTGGGCAAACAGCTTATATACCAAGAATACTGATGATTCCAACTGATCTGCCAATACCATTTTAACGGCTTCAATTTCCGTTTAAAATATCATCTACACATGTAATAGATCTATGTATGTTTTGATCTTAAAAAACTACGCAGATTTTGATTCGTTGTTATTTAATAGTCAGAATAGATAGACTCAAGAGGAAGGTTTATATATAACGTCCCAATACTGTACACGGATCTTTAAACGCGCGATAACCTATATATCCCATATTCACGCGGGCGAAGCCGCGAGCTAAAATCTAGTCTCTAAATAAAAACATTTATAATGTTGTTGACTTTTCACCCAAACACGCATAATTATTTGCGCGCCTGTACAGTAATGAAAATCCAACGAGTATAATAACAGAATAGCTGCAATTTAGAAATATCTGTATTGTGTAAAATAAAATAAAATTGGATAAAATATCTCTAAACATTAAGGAATATAATTTATATATAATTTGGTAATTTATTTACAATCCACATTGCATACTAGATGATATACACTATATAACACAAGACAAATGTACGTAAAAATAATAATGGTATTTTTATAAACAATAACCCTATTTTAATTTAGAAAAAAACTACAAAATAAACATACGAGTAAATTTGGTTTACATTTTTCTCTCAGATAAGCGTTATTTTTAAAAATACTAAAATGTTTTCTTTTTTAATTTTAACAATTAATTGCCATTAGTGTGACGAAATACCATGCTCTTGTGCTTTTCATAGTCCAGCAGGGTAGGTAGGTTTTATTTGTAGCATACCTGTACTTTTGTCTTGGCATGCTAAAATAAATATTATATATATATTTAACAACGACTTTAAATTAATATTCGTAGAAATAAGTATATATTAGCAAAATTAATTAAATATTACTTAAATTATCAAAATGGTTTAATCGCTCTATACTAATGTTCACTGACGAATGTCTTATCTTAGCGGTGTTGTAAAAAATGGCATAGGTCCTACCTCGACGAGCGCTAGCGCAGCACGAGAATTTACTTTTGGCGCAACGGAATTTATACAACTTTCAATTATTATTATTGTTTATTTTTTTCTTAGAAACTTATATTTTCTTTTCATATTTCTAATTTACAAGTATATTAACTTTATTATTATGTTTTTTTTATGCAAAAATTTCGTTGTATTTATGAGAAAATTAGAAATGATTATGGCAAAGTTTTGTTGAAATTTCGGGTTTAATTGTGATCAATTTTTTAGATATTTAAGTTGAAAATGAAAAAAAGGACGATGCTGTCTCAATGTATAAAGTAATTATCAAGTTTTAGTAAAGATATCATATCAATTTATGTTTGTTTATTAATGAACGACGACCCCAAACTTCTGTCATTTAGCGTTTTTGAATAAACTATTTTAGAAATTAGGAAGACTAACAAAGAGAAAATTAACATTTCAAAGATGTTGTTTTTAAGATTAGATATCTATCTATATAATTCAGGCGTGGGACCAGGACCGGGCCCGTATTCTTGAAATACCCGGTACCAACACAGGGGAGGCGGCGGACGCGTCAAAATGTATATCCGACTCTTAATGTCTTAGAACCAGAACCCCAAAGACACTGCTTTTAGGCCAAAAAATGTGAGACCTGGATAATATACATTATTTATATTATTAACCGGGTCTCAACACACTGACTTCGTCTTGACGTCAGCCCGTGACCACGGCTAGTGCAACCAAGTCGAACCATCGAGAGTGGTAAATACCTTTATTTGCCATAAATTAGTTCGTGTTAAGACCCGGTTAATAATATAAATAATGTACAAGTAGAATTATTCAAAAGATTCAGAAGATTGTAAGTACATTTGTATTTGAAATCTTTCTATAATAATAATAATAATAATAATTCAGGACAATTCACACAGCGCCATCTAGTCCCAAGTTAAGCTAGCTAAAGCTTGTGTAATGGGTACTAGATAACTGATACAGATACATAGATAATTTTTTTTTTTCGTAAATACATACATATTACACATAGAAAACACCCAGACCGATACAAACAATTATACTCATGAATACAAATGTTTGTGCCGTGCGAGGAATCGAACCCGCGACCATCGGACGTATAGCGGTGTGCTAGACCGCTAGACCACCGAGGTCGTCATTACATCGTCATATATTATATTCTGTTAATTCAACGGCGTCTGTAGTCTAGTTGTTTAGAGCAACGCCCTCCGATGGTCGCAGGTTTAAATTCTCCTACAGTACAAATATTAATGAGTATAGTACAAATATTTGTGTTCATAAATATGAATGTTTGTATTAGTGTGGGTATTTATATATTTCACAAAAAAAACTGTATTTCTACTAGTTCTCTAGTACCTATAACACAAACTCTACTTAACTTGGGCCTAGATGGCGCTGTAATGTGATAATTTATTATCAATTGTTTTTATTATTATTAATGAATATAATTAGATTAATCAAAAAAGGTCGCGTTTTGTTAATTACAGTTTTTATTTTACACTTTTTAGTATGCAATATTATTACTCCAATAGACTATTGCTATTGAGTAAAAACAACATATCCATGATGACTAGGGCCCTCACAAGACACTGCAAATTGGAGAAACCTAGGAAACCTAGGCCTGTGCACAACAAAAATCTGCAGATTTTGCCAAACTGAAGAGGAAACGCCACTACACATCCTATGTGGTTGTAGCCCACTCATGCATAAACGAAATATTTCTTTTGGAAAGTATACACTCTATCCTGAGGAGATAAACACCATCGATCCTAAGAATATTCTTAATATTCAATTCTGTTTCCTGACGAGTCTAGGTAGCGAACTTTGAAAAAGGGCGAGCACAATAGATCTATGTAGGTCGCAGTGCTACAGGCGCAGGTAACTGACAACAGCCCAAACAACCGAATAAAAAAATCCAATATGGAATTCACCTGCAGTTCCATATGTGCGTCTCTGGGCGTGTAGAATATAAAACACATTGGGAAGGATGTCCTGCCATCGTTGTGCTCCATCTTATAACTGGAAACAAACAGTAAAGTGTTTGTTAGGTAAGTATACTACAAGGTGTGATGCCTTTAACAACCCGGGGAGGGTTCTTAACACGTTGAAGACATCATTGAAAAATCTTATTTCTCACGTAGGGACCAGATTTTTTTATTGTTAACTAGCTATTCCAGCAACTTCGTCCGCGTGGAATTTAACTTTATTTTGCTACAATAAAAATAGCCTAAGTTACTCCTTATTACATCAGCTACCTATTAAAAAAGTCCCGTCAAAATCGGTCCAGCCATTTTAGAGATTAGACGGAACAAGCGGACTGACAGACAGACAAAAATTGTAAAAAATGTTATTTCGGTGTATGTATCGTAATTATATTCATATGCATGTAGTAAAAAAACGGTTATTTCAATATTACAAACAGACACTCCAATTTTATTCATATGTATAGATTTGAATCACCCGACTAATATCTTCTTAATTAATATTACTAACTTATATTCCTTCATGAGTTCTATTGTTAATTTCAAACTGAGTAAGATATATAATTACAACATACATACACACAAATATCTCCCCTCCAATCGATCCTCCGCCCAAATCAAACAGGCAAATCGATATTACGACGGCCTGAGCCGAGGTTCGAACCTCCTAGTGGTGCCCTCAGACTAAAGTCGTATCCGTCAGACGGGAGTTGTCCTTCAGCCGCTCCATAAGTCCTTCCTTGGTTTGGAGTGCCATCTGCACTCGCCCCCTATCGTCCGGCGAAGCTGTTAAGGTCAGCTGCGGACAACAGCATTAGAATAGTCCGAAAAAAAAAAACAAATACAAGTACAGTGTACCCGCGGTAATCCGGCCCCTGTCTAATCCGGCCCCCCTTGTAATCCGATATTGTCTATTATTTGTTATTGAATATTACTTTGACAATATACTTCAGAGTGCATATACATACATATATAACATAGAATCTTATCACTGGATCTTTAATTTGTCGGATTACAAGATACTCTTTTGTAAAAATTCCGGACTATAAGCAGAGGACCCTTAAGCAGCACTCTATAATCCGACAAATACGATGGTCCGACACTGCCCTGCAAAATGATTGTCGGACTACCGGGGGTCCACTGTATACATATATTATAACATAGAATCTTAACACAGGATCTTTAATTTGTCGCATTACAAGGTACTCTTTTGTAAAAAAAAATCGGACTATAAGGGGTCTTAGGCAGTACTCTATAATCCGACAAATTCGATAGTCCGACACTGCCCTGCAAAATGATTGTCAGACTACCGTGGGTCCACTGTAATTAGTTACCTATATACAATAAATCGGGGCTGGTGCGAAGGTAGTATATCTTGCAGTTCTTCTAACTCAACATTCTCCAATTCTTCATCCACTTCCAGCGCCTGCTTCTCTCTGTTCACCTGAAAAACAGAAACCTTTGTTAGGCTTCACAAGAGGATGAATTCTCGTCGGGTCATCTCTTTTTTTTTTATAACACAGGGACAAACATGCGGCTCACCTGATGGTAAGTGATTACCGCCGCCCATGAGCACCCGCAACACCAGGGGCATTGCAAGTACGTTGTCGGCCTTTTAAAATGGAATAAGCCTTTTCTTGAAGGTTTCGATATCGTATCGGTTCGGAAATACCATTGCTGGAAGATCTCTGTTCCAGCATGTACCATTTGTGCAGATGGTAGCCACATTTACCATCATTCGTTGGTAGAAAAGGGATTGTTAGTAATTACTGCATTGCTAATAATGTCAGTCAGGTTGACCTCCACATGATTTCCCCCGGAAAGCACCGTGATAAATACCTGTAGAACTTGTCACGATGAGCCAATTGACCTGACTTCATGTTCATCTTATCATCCTCACTGGTGCGGCGAGGCACAATCTATTTTATATTTAAAAAACAGCCTAAATAGAATAGAATGGAAAATCATTTATTCAAATAAACTTAATTTAAGCACTTTTGAATAGTCAACATTTTTTTAAATCTACCGCTTATTCGGAAAGCTGTCTCATCACAAGAAGAATAAGCAAGAAACTTGTGTGTTGCTCTTTTAAACAATCCTTGTAAGTTCACATTTTACAAGTCGAAACGTGTGAATACAAACTACCAACCAGCACTAATTTATTTAGGCTCAAATATAAAAACACAATAATATTAAATCAGTCGTAGTGATAAGAGCAGACCAGTTCCTACAAGTAGTAATAATAATATTCAAGCTTTTAAAATTATGATACTTCCATATAATCTTTCATCTAACCTCAACCTTTTTTTGCATTAAAAATCAATTCTTTCTCAGTTCCTACAAGTAGTAATAATAATATCGGTTCAGTCGTTTTAGCGTGAAAGTGCGACAGACAAACAGACATAGTTACTTTCGTATTTTCAGTATTAGTAAGCATTATCAAATTCAAATTAAAATATAAGATCCTAGATGAATCACTTGTTTAACCGGTTAGGAACGTAAATTTTTTTATATTATAATATTTTCCTACTATCCAATTCAGTATACTGAGACTACTTCAATTGAGAAGAACTGGCAAGAAACTAAATTGAATATCTATTTTTTTAATAAGCCAATTTATTTATAACTAGCTGTACCCGCGACTTCGTCCGCGTGGTGTTATAAGTACTTTATTTGTCTAAAATAAAATAATATTTCTAAAATAAAAGTAGCCTAAGTTACTCCTTATTACATCAGCTACCTTCCAATAAAAGTCACGTCAAAATCGGTCCACTCATTTCAGAGATTAACCGGAACAAACAGACAGACAGATAAAAATTGTAAAAAATGTTACTTTGGTGTATATACCGTATTTAGATTCATATGCATGTAGTAAAAAACGGTGATTTCCATATTACAAACAGTGTCTGTTTGTAATATGGAAATCACCGTTTTTTCCAATTTTATTTATATGTATAGATTTATATAGGAGTCTATGTCTAACTATGATTATCACGTGTATGAACAACTATTGCCATGCCCGCTCGTAATTCAAGTAATCGTTTAGTGAATAATAGGCTTCGCTCAGTAAATATTTATTTACGGCTAAATGATAAAGGGACACATATCTTCTGTGGTTGTGGTTCACATACTTATAATAACTAAGTACAAATAAATATATAATTTTAGAGTAAGAGCCGAGTTTCCTGTCAGCTCTTCATACAAACTAAACTACATACTAAACTACATTCCAAACCAGCAGATGTTTTTATTCATCACAAGCTGTACTCACAACTTTGTCCGCGTTGAAATTAATCTAATTATTCTAAAATTAGAGAACCATTCTAAAATAAAAGTAGCCAAATTACTCCTTATGATATCAGCTACCTGCCAAAAAAGTCCCGTAAAAATCGGTCCAGCCATTTCAGAGATTAGCCGGAACAAACGCAAAGACAAGACAAAATGGTAAAAAATGTTATTTTGGTGTATGTACCATATGCATGTAGTAAAAAACGGTTGTATCAATATTACAAACAGACACTCTAATTTTATTTATATGTATAGATGTATTATTCAAAAGTGCTTAAATTAAGTTTATTTGAATAAATGATTTTGTATTGTATTCTATTGCTATTAGGTACCAAGTTATTACCTATTATGATGATTATATTACTCAATAGCAAGTCTTATACCAATAACAAATAAATGATTCAGATATGATTGTTTCGCACATTTTCCTTGTATTGCATGGAGTTACTTATCTATGAGTGAGTCAGACATTCTGCAATGCTAATAATTGCTATCAACAATAAATTTGTTTACATTTTTATGTAAAATCAATATAATTTCTTTATTTATTTCGTTCTTTGTTCTTTTATAAGGGCGAAAGTTTGTGAGTATGGATGTTTGTTACTCTTTTACGCAAAAGCTACTGGCGGACTTTGATGAAACTTTACAGTGATGTAGCTTATATATCAGAATAAGATATAGAATATAATTAAAAAATATATAAAGTGAAATGGGAAAAATATAATGATAAATGTCAGGTTAGTGTGATGCAGATGAAGATATTCTAGCTCACCCTTGCAGCTAGAATAGAATAGAAAATCATTTATTGTAATAAACTTACATTGAAGCACTTTTGAATAGTAGTAACATTTTATTAATCTACCACTCATTCGGAAAGCTGTCTCATCACAAGAAGAACGAGCAAGAAACTTGTGTGTTGCTCTTTTAAATAATTTTATTATTACTTTACATTTTTAAGTGTCTGAATACAAACCACCAATTAGCACTAATTCAATTAAATACTCAAATAGAAAAAATATTGAATATACAACCAACTGGTTAAACAATTAATAAGAGGAAATTAGTCATAGTGATTAGAGCAGACCAGTCCCTACAAGCAGCACTCGTTCACGAGTATGACGGATGAGCCAGCCATCACTGCGCTTGACCATATTTTAGGGAGCCCAATGACCCGGCCCACCACGCCGCCACAAGTCTGGACATTTTAGTGAGCATGACTACTCAAAACACTAGACCACGTCAAAGCTACTCACAATTGAAGATATAGATTATTATTATTCCTATATAGATAGAAATATTGATAATTTTTCTTTGCTTCAAAATTTACAGTGTTATAAATATTCGGCTCATATTCAGGAGGCATGCAAATTACTAATTAATATTTTATTACTATTTAATATATATCAAATAAAAAATTAATAATATTTAAACATATATGTATGTAATGCATTTTATTTTTATAGAACTAATATACAGGCGGGCTTTAAAGTTACAAACTTGAACAGTTACTTTACTCAAGCGTAAACTTAGCTACAGTAAAGCGAAAGCAAATGACTGCGTAATGCCAATAACAATCGAATGAATCAATTCACCTTTAATATTAGTGCCGAATTGTTGCTGTGCTTTTGAAAACGGAATTTCTTCAATACTTCCTTAACATCGTCACCTATATCACACACGTTTACGTTTTGTGCAGACATTATTATGTATTCAAATAAATAAATTAAAGTTTGTAATTAAAACAATAATGACGAGAGTCGTCCGCCAACAAACAAAACACAATAAATCTAATTTGACAAGACTAAAGACGTTGACAACCTGAGGATTGACAAAACAGACATGGCTGTATAAGAAGAGATCCCTTTGCCTTTACTTTTGTGGCAAATTTACTATCATTGTGCGGCAACACCGCTGCACATTAAAGTTTCATTCACCGACTATTATAGCTCACTTAAAAATGCTCTAAAATTATTATGGAATAACTATTACATAAATATTGCTAACGATAAGGGAAAATGGTATGCCAAGATCCAAGGAACCCTGCCCGCTAAACCTTGGTACCACAACAATAAAGACGTCGACAGCAGACAATTTATCACGACTATTAATCGTATGAGATTTGGTCATAATCAAACTCGCACTCACCTATACAGAATGAAAATGGTTCACAACCCAAAATGTCCTCACTGCAATGAAGATGAAGATTTGAATCATATTATATTCAAATGTAGAAAATACGGACTCGACAGATTATTACTCATTCACGAGATTCAAGAGCATATTAATGAAGTACCGAAGTCTCTAGAAGAGATCTTATCAAGGCCTGCACTATTCAAGATTTTATATAAATTTATTTCTAACACTGGGAAGAAATTATAATTTTTTTTTAGGTTTTGTATCTTATGTTGGGCTAAAAAGGACTTGTATCCAGAGCCGTAAAATATTAAATAAAAAAAAATCATAGTAAATTTGCCGAACCCGTCATTTGAGACGAATCCACTTGTAAATATTCTTATGTACATTTATAATTTGTAAATACTTCTACAATATAAATATGTAAATAATCACGACTGGTTTCTTTTCATCTCCTGGCGCTAGTGCTACAAGGAACACAACACAATAAACATATATGATAGCTGACACAACATAAATGATCCAACATAGCAGTTAAACATTAAAAAAAATTACTACTTTTTGAAAAAAAGCATGGCTCATCAAACAGTAAATGGTTACTGTAAGAAAGCTTATTGACGACTCAATCACCGATTTAACGAGTTATTTTTCTTATAAACATGAGAATTTAAAGAAGAGTATTGTAAACAATACTAAAAATTAGTTTCAAACTATTATATCAATGTCGTGCTTAGTTTATTTTAGATTTTTAATTGTTTCCAATTCATGTTTTTAGTACACCATAAATGCGAACAGGAATGAATGGAAGAGAAACATATATTAGGCTGATTCCAAATGAATGGGTGAAGGAAGACACGGATAATGTTTTCAGCGAACCAAAGGCAAATTTATGTATGAAGTGAAGGTCCAAATTTCAGACAAACGGGATTATTACGACGCTGTCCTCCTACAATATAAGCCGTTGCGTCGTACCGAATACTAGCTACCGAGATCCTACAGCATCTAAGATAAATAAACATTATACTTATACCATCTCGTACATTTGGCAACCCTGCTGCACAGCTGAGTTTAGGTGACTTTACTTACGGAAACATTATATTTATGTCAATAAATGTACTTTTATTTACTTCCAAAATGCAACGTATAATATTACTATACATATTATTATATAACTAGTATTTACATAACCTAATTGTACAACTAAGAACTAAAATAAAAAGCTTAAAAAAAAAAAAAAATAGAATATGATAACTAAAATATATTATTAAAAGTGGTCCCTTTAGGCAACGTTCCGAAGATACTGGCAGCGTTCCCTCTTTGAATAGCTAGACTAATTCTTTGTCCAAGGTAGCTGCCAGCTCTTCGGTCTTCTGTGATGTCGACTAACCTTTTCGTTATTTCTTTGAAAAGTCTTATAGCGCTAGGACCCCACGGACCAAGGGTATCGACACCGAATGGAACAAATTCATATTCGGAGCCTAGACCCCTGTATTTACATATTTTGGCTTTTTCAGCCGCTTCACATGCCGCACCAGCTCTGTTGTTGGTTCCATGTAGATGGGATGGGGCCAGCGTGTCTGCACAGGTTGCATCCCATACCAGCACCCGGCCCATCTTCCATGGAATCAAACTCATACCGTCCGGTCTCTTACCATCGTCTCTTGCAATACCAGCCGGCTCAAGTAGACTTGGTACGTTGACGGTGGCAAGGGACCGGCGTATGATATCGTTAAGTGCGGCATGTCTCGAGAAACGGCCCGCACTTTTTTGGCATGACAGTCCGTGATGTCCTAGTTTGTCGACATCACTGCCACAGGGACATTTGTGAGGAGCGCAGACCGGAACCCCAAGCCGTAGACAGGTTGCTATTCGGAGCTGTCAATAATGACAGCCAATGTCAACCAAATCAAATGTTTTGACAGTTTTTGACATCAGTTCAGTGTATTTATATAAAAAAGTGTTTTTCATTGTCTAAATTTTCCTTAAAATTAATCTTCTACAAACATTTTTTTATGAAATCATGCCCTATTAATAAAAATTTAAATCTAATGAAAAAAAATATTTTGTGTCAAAACTCTTGCTGGTTATAAAATTGTTATAATGTTTATTAGAAAGTGTAACTTGGGACCATGAAACATTTGTATTGTTAATTCTTTTGAGTGATTGCCTTCGTTTACGAGTGTTTAAGCGTTCTATTTAAAGGTCATTAGTGTGGACTGTCGCCGGTATGCACTGTAAGTACTAACTCGGCTATTAATTGATACCTAATAATGTTTTCATTTATTGTATAATGACTGTTCACGAAGTTAGAAAACTCCAAATATTCGTCTATTTCCAGTGAATGGCTGCATCTTGTGCATGTAGTTCTTATTTACATGATTAATTAATTTCAATATCTATTGTTGTTAAGCTGTAAGAATTTATATAGAAAGGGGAAATAAGGTTATAATAATATTGAAGAAATGTTTTGATAATTAATAAGTGGGAGGATGCAGAGTCTACATATTGAGAGCTAGACTCATATATCACAATTAAATAGTTTAAGAAAAATGTATAAATATAAATATCACTTATTTAATAACCATATTTATACATTGTGTGATATTTTTTGGCATTACTTTTCTGTGATATACTTTCACTATATTTAAATTTAGATATCTTAAATAAAATTTATATTGATAATGATTTTAATAATTATAAATAGAATAAATATGTTTTAGTCCAGAGGAGAGTTTGATATATAAATTCTATTTTATATGTGAATATGTATAAAATTTTGTCTGTTTTATTTTACTGACTTAATTCCACTTATATGATAACTACTTTTAAGAGAGTAGACACTACTCTCTTTCAGAGGTGGTTTGGAAGACATTGCATTAGCATTAGGAACATGTTTTTGACTTAATTTTATACTAAATCTTTTTGTTCATATTGTTTGAATGTTTGTACAATTAATTATTGTACTAAAAAATATTAAATAAATAGCTTTTGAAATATAGCATTAGGTAAGTTAACATATTATCTATATAATATGTATGTATTATATATATATATATATGTGAGTAGTTTATGTAAATTATTATTTAGTATTCCTATGCCTCTTATTTCTCTAGTCTATTCTTGCACCATCTACCACTTTCTGTCCTCTCTCCTCTACCCAAAGGTTGTCTGGAAGAGATTGCTAAGAAGAATAGTCTTTCTGGTGCAATCAAGAGTAAATAAATAAAAATAAATATCATAGAAATGATTCAAGTAGCTATTAAGGTTCTTGTCTTTGTCTTTATCTATCTATGAGAAGACTACTTTAGTAGCACTACTTTAGTTTAAAGTATCATATCTATGATATCTATAACAGTATTCAAGTGAATGTACCAAGCTGCATTGTGTAATTTAATTAGGTTATTTAGTTTCATCTAGTTGTCTTTGAGCGTATGACTTTGTAATAAACTGATTAATATAACTAAATCTTAAATAACATAATTAAAAAGAAGTTGCAGATTCAGTTTTTTAATGTATTAATATTAAACAGCTTCAAGTAAGTAGATCATATTAACCTGTTAACCGAGGAATTCCTTTTTTAATTACGCAGTATATAACGGGCACTGTCTCTCACTAGGATGTGTCAGTATGTCAGCACAATATAATTTAATGTATATATTTTTGATATGAAATGTTCCACCCGCACCAGGTTGCAGGGCGAAGCAGAAATTTAAAATATGTAGGTATACATATGTCCTACACATACAGAAAAGTTTGACGTATTTATACGTCCCGCTCGGTTAACAGGTTTATGTAATTAAACCTTAAATTACATAATTAAAAAGAGGTTATTTCAAATCAGATTTTTAATGTGTCAATATGATGTGTAGATTACACATCAATAGATCAATATATAATATACATCAATATATAATAAAACATATTTTATATCTGCAATGTCAATTGTAAGACTTTCATAATCATTGAAAACAAGACGCACAAAACAAATGTGATGCTGTTGTATATAAACAAACAATATGTAAAACTTTTTATTCAACCTGTTTGTGATATTTAAATAAAAATACATGTTTTTATAATGAATAACTTAAAGAAAAACAGAAAATGATGGGTATATAACTAATTCATACGTATTATACAGGTGGCCAATTTATATTTAAATACTAGCTGTCCCCGCAACTTCTTCCGCGTAAAATTTAACTTTAATTTTCTAAAATAAAAGTAACTTACGTTACTCCTAATTTCATCAGCTACCTGCCAAAAATAGTCGAGTCAAAATAGGTCCATCCATTTCAGAGATTATCTGGATCAGACAGAGACAGACGAAAATTGTAAAAATTGTTATTTTGTGTGTATGTACCATATTTTATTCATATGCATGTAGTACAAAATGGTTACTTCAATATTACAAACAGACACTCCAATTTTATTTATATGTATAGATGTATGGATAACTTACTTAAAGAATAATAGAATATGATTGGTATAGAACTAATTCATATGTATTATACAGCTGGCCCATATATATTTATATAAGAATAATATAGCTATTTACTGTGCATAGAGAATAAATATAAAAAGAAAAAAAATATATGTTGGAAAATGTATAACAAAAGGTCTTATTACCATATCTATATGTTTCATTTCAGTTTGTGTGTATGTCATTTAGTTTGTGTTAATTTGTATTAATCATTATTCACCTTTAAAAAACTATCCAAGAATTATCTATGTACTATTTAACCTATAAATCTTAAGGCAAAGTAGTTGTATATATATGATTAATGTTTATATTTATTAATGTTATTTTATCCAATTTTGTTATTTCTAGTATATGTGGTTTGTATTTATTAGTTGTAATTTTGTTTTAATTGTTATCATTAATATTTTAAATAGTGCCCTCTCTCTCCCCCCCTTTTATATATATATATATATATTTGGTGCCACTGAAAACCAGCTGTATGTTCACCTAGGACATACATTAAAGCTGAGTGGAGCCATTTCAGTGCATTTTTGGGTGTAAAAAATGATTATTTTATGTTTATTTTTAATTATCTACATGGTAAATTAAGTTTAATTATATGTACATTTTATTTGCCCCTTTTTTTTTCGTTATATTGTATCTTTTACATTGCACTGAATAATATATTTTTCTTTCTTTCTCTGTCTTTCTTTCTTTCTTTCTTTCTTTATCATTATATAAGAAGGAATGTAGCAACCATTGTTAAACACAAACGTGTTCTATATATCTTTTATATATAGATCTTGTTACTAATACAGTTACAGTGTCTTATCAATACATTTGCAAATTCGTGCTATCGTTGCCCGATTGATAACATATGTACTTTTATAGGTTCACTGACCTGAATATGATTTGGACGGCAGTTGATTGTGAGGTGTACAGAGCAATCAAATAGCAGAGATAGAAACCAAGATGGGTGCTATAAGTAAGTGTCTTTACTATACTATTTTTTTATAGTATAGGGGACAAACGAGCTTGCGGTTACCTGATGGTAAGTGTTTTTTTTATGGGTGATAATGGAATGGTGCACCCGCCTGCGCTAACGGTTTCCTCGGGCGGAGCACCAGTGGAAGATGATAAGATGAGGTCAGGTCAGTTAGCCCATCGTGACAAATTCACGAAGAATTTATCACGATGGTTTCCAGGGGGAACCGCGAGGAGGTCAACCTGACATGGTATTGCTAGCAATGAGATCATCATTCCACATTATTAAGAATTCCCTGATGAGCATGAGGTCAGGCCAGTTAGCCCATTGTGATAAAATCATCATGAATTTATCACAATGGTTTACAGGGGGAACCGCGTGGAGGTCAACCTGACATGGTACATTGCTGGTAATGGTCACGAGTACACATTACTAACAATTCCCTTCCCCCCTAATATTAGTGTGATTGCTATAATAAGGGGTACGCAAGGTTTGAAGTCTTTTTGGAAGTGGTATGCAGCAAAAACTATTTGGGAACCACTGGTTTAGTTTTTCGGATCGGATCGGATCGGATTTTATGTTTGGCGATTTAGTTGGATTGAATTGAATTCAAACTGACTGCCTTAGCTCCTCAAGTGGGGTGTCGTTAGAGACATCACGACGTCTTATGAACCCTGTACTCCTCAAGAGTTGTTATTCTTATGGGCTAAGATACACCTCCATCTCCCCTCCGATCGATCCCCCGTCCAATTCAAACGGGGATTGAAATTACGACGGCCTGAGCCGAGGTTCGAACCCCTAGCGGTGCCCTCATACTAAAGTCGTATCCGTCAGGCGGGAGTTGGCCTTTAGCCGCTCCATAAGTCCTTTGGTTTGGAGTGCCATCTGCACTCGCCTATCGTCCGGTGAAGCTGTAAAGGCCAGCTGCCTACAGCTGACAGCATTAGAGTAGTCCGAAAAAAAAATTACATAAAAACGTCGTTTGATTTCTCGATGTATAATTGTTACATTGAGAGCGTCATGGTCTAGTGGTTTATTTCCCTGAATTACGCGCGAGCGATCGTGAGTTACAATCTGACAGATACCAAAAGAGAAACTGTGTCAATCTACATTTCTGACTGAGTCTCCGGCGATGGAAACGTCGATGACAAACAAAATAATAATCCGAGAGACCACGATTCAAATATACGATGTGAAATGTGCCAATTCAAGTGGTCACCACCACGTCGACCGTTGTCAGTCACCTTTGAGTTATATATAATAATAGTAATCCTTATTAGTTATATATAAGTATTATATCCCAATAATCCCAGGACATTTCACACAGCGCCATCTAGACCCAAGTTAAGCTAGCTTTACTAGACAACTCCTAGACAACTGATACAAATACATAGATATTTTTTTTTTTCGTAAATACATACATATTATACATAGAAAATACCCAGACTGATACAAACAATCATACTCATGAATACTAATGTTTGTGCCGTGCGAGGAATCGAACCCGCGACCATCGGACATAAAACGGTGTGCTAGACCGCTATACCACCGAGGTCGTCATATTATATATATTTAGATATACATAACTCAAAGGTAACTGACAGTGATCTATCAACGCACAGCCCAAACTAGTGGACGGCTGAAATTTGGCATGCAGGTAGATGTTATGACGTAGGCATCCGCTAAGAAAGGATTTTGATTAATTCCACCCCCAAGGGGATGAAATAGGGGATGAATGTTTGTATTAAACTTTGTCAATTTTGAACCGATCAGGCCGAGATTTTTCATGCATAAAGCTACTATGACGTAGGCATCCCCTAAGAAATGATTTTGATAAATTCCACCCCTAAGGGGATAAATTAACGCGAGCGAAGCCGCGGGCAAAAGCTAGTATTTCATATTTTTAATACCTATATATGGATACCCTATTGTACACTATCCCATAACAGTCGTAATGGTTTTTTTTGATGTAACGGAAACTTATATATATTTTTTATTTATATATTATTACTGCTATATACTATTTTTTTTTTTCAGATGAAGGCACCGAAATGCTGGAGAAAAAGCAGTAAGTATTACAACAGGATAATATTCAACTAATTTCACTAACTCCTGCCCTCGACTTGCCCCCATAACAGAATAGAAAATAGCCCGGCATAGGCTATTTACCATAATAAATAATAAATATAATATAATAGTATATATAATAAATAGTAAATGCAAATGTAATAATAATATCTCAGGACAATTCCCACAGCGTCATCTAGTCCCAATTTAAGCTCGCCAAGGGTACTAGAGTTGTCTAGTACTTATATCACAAGCTCTAGATATAAATACATAGATTTATATATTTTTTTAAATACATACATATTATATATAGAACACACCCAGTCAAATAATCATACTCATGAATGTTTGTACCGTGCGAGGAATCGAACCCGCGACCATCGGAGGTAAGGCGGTGTATTAAACAACTAGACTACTAAAGCCGTCAAAAATGTATTTGTCTGTCTGTTTGTTACTTTTTCGGCTGAATTTATCTTAATGAAACTCGACATAAAGATAGATGTAATAGATAGAAGAAAGGTAGACTTAAAAAAATGAATTTCTTGTCAGTTCTTCTCATCTCGAAATCATTCCGAACTGACGGTATATTTGACATATCATAAGAGTCTGTAATAGACCTACATGAATAAAGATATTTTGAAAATTGAATTAGAAAACTAGAGGATGAAATAGGCAATTTTTTTATCTCAAAATAAACAAACAAAGTCACGGGTAATAGTTAGTGTTGGTTCACCAAGTTGCTATACCAGACTCTCAGGCCAGGTGGACTTGTTACACAATTATATTTATATAGATAACATATCATAGCAGATTATAAAATGTACTTTTATACTAGTACGATAGTGATGTGCTTCTTTATCTGTGGAAATTACGCGCGAGATAAAATATTAAATCAGATTAGTTTTTTTTAGATTAATTTTTTATTAATAGAATATCGTCGGAGGCTAAGCAACTGATTCATAATGCCAAGCGTGCGTAAGCGTGATTTACGCACTCTTATATAATTATATAAGAGTGTTATCGCTTAATAGTCTACCCGATTTATTTATTTATTACATACACATACATACAGCCATCGTATCGATTCCGATTGACACCAAAAATGAACAGGATAATTTATGTTTCCGACTTACTTTCCTATGATGTAAATACTAGTAACAATACAAAATTTGTACTAGAGACGGCTGTAAACTCGTTTATCGGCATGTGACAAATGTCTAACTACTACATGTGTAAAATAATAGAATAGAATCTTATTATAAACGCGAAAGTTTGTAAATATGGATGTTTGTTCAAACGCGCGAAACCTACTGAACGGATTTTGATGAAATTTTACAGTAATATAGCTTATGCATCAGAATAACACAGACTATATTTTTTATGTATTAGTTTATTTGAATAAATGATTTTCTATTCTATTCTATGGATATTTATCGCGAGTGAAACCGCGTGCATAGCTAGCAACTTATATTTTCGGAAAACTCAACTAAGTGGTAGTTTATCTACGACCCCATACTAGGCTGGCCCTGTATCATACAGACGTTAAGCTATTATTATATTTCTACTAGATGCCCCAGCAAACGTTGTTTTGCCTTAAAAAAAATATTTAGGGGTGGACTACCCCTAACATTTAGGGGGATGAAAAATAGATGTTGGCCGATTCTCAGACCTACTCAATACGCTCACAAATTTTCATGAGAATCGGTCAAGCCGTTTCGGAGGAGTATAGGAACGAAAACTGTGACACGAGAATTTTATATATAAGATTAGTGAAATGTGTTTTATCAGTATAATTATAAATGAAGTAGCTTTCGCTATCTCATCGCTTAGATCTTTTAAACTACGGATTTTAAAGCAGTTCTTATCAATAAATAGTGTGATTCAATAGGAAGCTTTAGACGTATAATACATATATTAATTCAAGAGGAAGATTATATGTATAATCACATCCCATACAACAAAATGGTTTGTATTCATGAGTATGATTGTTTGTATCGGTCTGGGTGTTTTCTATGTATAATATACATATATATTAAGAAAAAAAAATCTATGTATTTGTATCAGTTATCTACCCGTAACACAAGCTTTAGCTAGCTTAATTTGGGTCTAGATGGCGCTGTGTGAATTGGCCTGAGCTTATTATTATAAACCGCTAGATCACTGAAGCCGTCAAAGATGACCAATAAGTACCTACACATAGTATAGTTAACAGGAAAAAACTATCGACATCAGTCAGTTCCCATCCCTACCTGCCTTCATTGAGCTGTATCGCCTCAATTGACTCGCCATACCAGTGCCCGCGAGACATTACGCCGTGCAAGACGTTCGACCTAAAACTTTTTAGAAAGTTGCATTTTAACTCCGCGGTATACAATTTTGGCGGTAAACGTGTGTTCTTTATTTAAATTACGAAATAAATTGTCATAGCGTGTTCGAATTTTGAAATTCGAAGTTTTGTTTCTTTTTTATTAAAGTGGAATTGTTTGTGTCACGTGACAGCTTTGAGGTTTTAATCGAGTTTTGTTGATTGTGTTCTATGATAAATGGGAAATAACTATGTACAGTAGGTATGAATGAACGCGGATATAGAGGTCAAATCTAAAACGCCATTCTCCAGATTAATCTATTTCAATTTGATATGACAACAAATTCTTTATTCTAAGAACTGTGATACGATACGGTACGAGCCCGTACTGCTATAAATGTTTAGTTTTGTCTATGGTTTTTTTTTAAATAAAATATTAAGGAAATTATAAATAAAAATACTTTTTTAATTTTAATGTGATCCGAGAATTTAAATGTAGAGTTAAGCGGTAGAGAAAATGAAAATGTTTGTCTTTAAAATCAAAACGTGAAAATGTATCAATATAATAATATAATACTATACAATGATTGAAACATTTACAAGGAATTATAAAAAAACAGCTACCCACGCCGGCTTCGCACGGGTGTACATGTATACATATAAACCTTCCTCTTGAATCATTCTATCTATTAAAAAAAATCTTCAGAATCCGTTGCGTAGTTTTAAAATTTAAGCATACATAGGGACGGACAGACAGCGACAGCGATTTTGTTTTATACTATGTAGTGATATACTATTTTTTTAACATGATCTGAGAATATAAGTAGAGTGTCGCGGTAGAGAAAAAAAAATTGTCTTATCAGTTATCCTTACTATATACGTAATGATTGATCAATCATATACTGTAATCATTTATATAAAAAAAAAACATCTATTAAAAAGAGCAACACACAAGTTTCTTGCTCATTCTTCTTGTGATGAATCTGCATTCCGAATGAGTGGTAGAATCAAAATATGACTATTCAAAAGTGCTTGTAATGAGTTTATTTGAATAAAGATTATTTCTATTTCTATTGAAATATTTGCTAGTAATAATTTCTAGACGTAAATATTTAAACTATTTCTTAATGAAAATATTTAAATATGTGCCTATAATCGAGGATTCCATCATCAGTTACCTTAGAACCACATTATCAGATCCTGATATACCATTTCTTAGATAGCAAGGCACCTGGGACCTAAGAAATACTCTCTCCCAAACAAAAAAATAGTTTGCAATACTTTATTAAGTACTAGCTTTTACCCGCGCCTTCGATCGCGTTATTTATTAATTTATTCCCTTAGGGGTGGAATTTATCAAAATCCTTTCTTAGCGGATGCCTACGTCATAACATCTACCTGCATGCCAAATTTCATCCCGATCCGTCCAGTGGTTTGGGCTGTGCGTTGATAGATCACTATGTCTGTCAGTCACCTTTGAGTTATGTATATTTAGATGTAGTATTTAAAAAAAACTTAATAGAATAAATATATATGTAGTAGAAAGTATACAACGATCTTACGAAATAGAGTTTTGAGTCCACAATTGATAAAAAATATATATGAATCTATGTTCATAGACAGCCTCGTTGGTCTAGCAGTTTAGCATACCGCTTTACTTCCGATGGTCGCGGGTTCGATTCCTCGTATTGTACAATCATTTGTATTTATGATTATAATAATATTATATCTATACATCTACCGTTACTAATATTATAAATGTGAAAGTAACAGTCTGTCTGTCTGTCTCGCTTTCACGTCAAAACTACTGAACCGATTTAAATGAAATTTGGTACACAGATAGTCTGGACCCTGAGAAAAGGCATAGCTACTTTTGAATGCGAAAAAAGGTTTGTAAGGGGTTGAAAGTGGGGATGAAAGATTGTATGGAAGAATCGTCATTTTTGAAGCTAAAAGCTTGAAACTTATTTTTAAGGCTGTTGATTTAATATGAATAAATATGACATTCAAAGTTTGACTTTTGACTTTGACTTACCCCTTGAGGGGGTAAAATGTCATATATGCTATAATTTAAAAATATATTATATAAATTGGGCGATATATAATGATAAGTGTGATGCAGAGGAAGTCGAGCGGGGCAGTTAGTACTACATATATATAAAATTGTAGTGTATGTTTGTAATATTGAAATAACCGTTGTTTACTACATGCATATGGAAATTTGCGAAATTAAAGACAGGAAAAACAGGTTTCGTCACTTGATCGACGCCGATTGTTTTCCTGTGGTTTTGTTTTTAATACGAGGCGCTAGTGGAAGGTCGCAGGTACCGGGGACGGCCCAGAATAACCTATAATGATCAGATCGATCGATTATACAGAGTCAATTGTGGGTGAACACATATAACATATATAAATTAAAACAAATTTTAGTTTAGTTAAATTCCACGATAAAAATAAAATTTATTTATCTAAAATAAAAGTAGCCGAAATTTACCCCTTATTACATCAGCTAATAAAAGTCCCGTCATAATCGGTTCAGCCATTTCAGAGATTAGCCGGACCAAACAGAGAGACAAAAATTGTAAATAATGTTATTTTGGTGTATATTTTCATATGCATGTAGTAAACAACGGTTATTTCAATATTACAAACAGACACTCCAATTTTATTTATATGTATAGATGTATACCCGGGCAA